GAAGAACACAGGTTACTTCAGGAGAACACCTTCTTCAAAGCACCTTATGAAGAGAGCAAAATAAATAAAGCCTTTTTAAGGGAAGCCTTACAATAAAGTCCAGTTTTCACAGAGGACTTAAAACACTCCAACATTTGCTGCAAGGGTAATACAGCATGATGGAGACAATCATATTTTTGGAAAACAGAGAAGGCAATTGCTTGACACTGATCAATGAACCAAGAGGAACATGAAGGCTGATGATAACCTCAGAGGCACTGTGTGTGCACCCTGACAGAAGACCACTGTACAAGGAGGAATTAGTGATGCACATCAGAGCTCACCTGAGGTGGCCAGGCTCAGCTGGACTGCAGGACAAACCCAGCCAGGTCATTGTACCAGAGGAGCCTGCAAGCAGCTCCCACTCGGCACCTGAAACTACCTAACCTGTGTGGCCTTGCCTTTATCCAGGGATGTAGCAACAAGTTCTCCTGAGAACATCTTTCTGTCTGACAATAGAATTGATCAGGACTTTTCTTTTAAAAGAATCCTGCAACAGCTTGAATAATGAAAATAGAGAATAAACCCTTCTTACAGACTGGTCTTCACAGTATGCTGCACTCTGATTAGAGGCCATTTCGATGCCGCACAACTGAAGATTCCCAGCATCTGAAGGGATGTAAGATCACCTGTTCCACTTTTACTTTATTATAGTGAAGTTAATACTTGCTGAAGAAGCAGCACTTTAAATTACAATTTACAGAGCCTGTGTTCCTTTCTTATGGGTATTACAGCATTTCCACCATGACAGTGGAATTTAAGATTCTAAAATAATTAAGAGAGAGGGACAATAGAAATACAGCCCTGGACTTTCAAAAGAACAGATTTCACCTTGCTCTGGGATCTGCTTGGAGACAGCCCTGTGAAGAGCAAAGGAGTCTATGAGAGGTGGTTGTTCTACAAGAATTACCTCCTCTAAGCACAGTGATGGCCATGGGAAAACTTTCTCAAGTTGGCCAGCATTGGTAAGAGGGGAATTCCTGATTCTGCTCAAACACAAACAAATAGTGTGAAGTGTGAAGAAGTGGATTACCTGCAGAAACAAACAAACAAAAAAAATATTGGTTTCAAAGGGAAAACTAAGAAAACCATGACCCTGCTGATCCGTAGGGGTTCTAGTAATAGAAGACATAAAAAAGGCTGAGATATGCAAAAGAAATGTAATGATTCTGCCACATATGCATATTCACTATATTTTCTAATGAGTAAAATGTACCTTTCTTTAAGGAGTCAGCAAATATTTCTTTAATGTATTCTGAGGCAGACAAACAACTTACCAGAACGCAATGCAAGAGTATTACAGAAGGCTCAAACAAGACAAAATTAAATATTAGGCTAAGAAGACATTGCCTGGAAGTATTAAACCTATTCCAGAGGTTATTCTTTATTCTGCTTCAATGCACTGAAGTGCCAAATAATTCTAACTAACATTTCTTTTTGTTTCTTTTTAATATGGGAATTAAGTGGTGTTTATATCAAATAAAAAGGTCTAAAAATGCTTCATACTATTAAGAACCACCAAAACCAGACATGTTCCTAAAATAAAAGACCAAAAAATCATCTCATTAGGTAGGAGATGTTGGACTTATAAGAACAACTGGCACCAAACTTCCAAATCATTAAACTGTATACCCTTAGTCTCAAGGCCTCTGGTAACACACTTCACTGTACGAGAAGGAGAAGTCAAGGAGATTTCATCCATTTCAACTGTGCTTTTAGAGAAACTGCATCACCACACACCTTCCTACACACCTGGCTAACCTCAAAAACCACCATCAATTTATACACACAAATATATATATATATATATAGGCATAGAATCACAGAGTGCCCTGAGTTGGAAGGCACTCTCAAGAATCACCAAAGTCCAACTCCTGGCCCTGCACATGACAGCCCAAGAACCAGAGCATTTGCCTGAGAGCATTCTCCAAATGCCTCTCATGGCTTGACTGCCTGCTCGGATGAGCTCGTCTGCAGCCTGGCTCTGTGGTGAGCTCTGCCTCATCCTAACAAACAACCCCTGCTCCAGAATCATCATCTTCTCCACTTACCTCAGGCCTCTAAGGATGTATTCACCTCATCTCTATAAACTCTGTTTGCAGCTGCAATTGTCAGTGTTCCTCCTATAAACACAGTTCATTATCTCACAGTGTAACATTTCCTTTTCATACTGGCTTTCGGTTTAATTCTTTCTTTAATTTTCTTTAGGTTTCTTTCTCCATGTGCCCATCTTTGGGGACCTATGGCTTTACCACAGCATCTTCCTATCATATTGCTGCCCAACAACTCTGTATGAAGCAGGAAGACCACTCTGTAAAATGGATACTGGTTTTATTTAAAGGGCAAACATTTGACAAGTCTTAAACATTAGCAAAGATTCTTTTCCTCAGCCATGATCTCTGACACTACTGAACTGTTCAAGCGGCTTCTCTTTCCAGAAAACAGCCAAAATTCAAATAAGCCAAGACAGCCTTTTTAAATAGTTTGCAACAATCAAATGTATTTCCAGTATTTTCAAACACAATGTACTTCAGTGTATTTCCCTAGGAAACATCCTCCGGCTAAAAGAAAAAATAGGAAAAAGCTTTTCAGAACATGATCTCTGCTTTTTTTCAACATTATTTGCATTAGCTTAGCATCAGAAAAAAATCCTCAGATAAACAAATAATCTTTATGCACAAACCAAAAATAGCAATGAAGGATTTGGGATAAAAACAGGCTGTATAATAATGTAAACACAGTTATTCTAGAGGAGCTAGTTTAGCTTTTCTGGTAATGTTCCTTTAGCAAAGGAAAAACACATATAATAATGACAAGGTATTTGTTCCTTGTGCCATTCTCTCCTACTTAAATTTATATACACATGCCAGTGAAATGCACTGAGGTAAAAAGCTATATATTTACTGAAGCACTAGTGGATTATATGTTGGAAAATTGCTGCAATTAAGGGCTGGCTCCTCATTTCACACAAAATTTACCCTCTCAACAATACAGTGGAGATATATTGACTTAAAATAGCTGGGAATTTGATCCTGGCATATTACCACTATTTATAAACATTAATATAAATACTTCTACATTCAAAAGTATGCCCACCAGCAGCCAAACAGTAAATTAAAAAAAAAAAAGCAAAAGCAACAACAGCAACAACAAAATCATACAAAAAACCAAACACAAAAAACCCAAAACAAAACAAAAAAAACCACAAACAAACCCAAAAAAACCCATCAAAATCCCCAAAAATGCAACAAAACCCCCCCAAACCATACATCCTTGCATTTCCAGGTAAATCTGTTAAGACTGTATGAAAGTGTATTTAATCTTTGTATTCCTATACAAGTAGGAAAGGCCAACATTTAACTTTTAGACAGTTACTCTTTTTTTTGGTAAAATAGCTCCTAAACTCATCTGCTCTCAGAGGCTCAGTGCAGCTTGCTTTAAGTGAGAATCATAAATCAGTTAGATGAAAACAGCAACATGCCTCACCTTTCCTTCAGATCTCCAAAAACTGGAAACTACGTTTTAATAAACCCACTTGCTAGAAGCTTAAAGCAATACCACTTTGTATAAAACCTCTTGCACAGCTGTTTCCATTAAGATGAAGCTGTAGAAAAAAATGGTATGACTACCAAAAAATGTAGATGCTCACAAGGCAGGCAGCAGTTTTACACAGGCTGTTGGAACACCTTCCTCTGCTAAAGGAAAGCCTTTCCTTCCAGTCATCTGGTGCGCTGCAAGGTATTCTCATAGGAGCCTGGGCAATAGACTACCATGCCAATACACCATACTTTTAGAGTACTGAACTCTTCTGCGTGAGCATGAAGAGACATGCACAGCTTAAATTTCACTCAGCAATGCAGGAAATCTGAGAAACTTATTGAGTCTGGCTGAGGTTACGTTCCATAAAGAATAGAGATGCCTAGTACAAGCCGTATCATCACTACCCAAGTGTTCTCAAACTACCTGCCCGGAATTTTCGTACTATAAATATCTAAAAAGATCCAATTTACCTAAGTCACTCTACTGACTGTTATACATCCCCAAGACCAACAAGGCTTCAGCTGGAGAGGAACATAAGTTTCAATTTATTTTTTTCCTTTTTTTAGTCAGTACAACAGCATAAGACACACCAGATAGAACCATACACTGTGTGCAAAAGCCCTTCTGTGTACACGCTAAAAGCCACCATAGGAACATAAACCCTCTGCACAGTCCTAACTTTTTCTAGAAAAAAGGTATGAACTACATAAAAAGACTTTTAGATATTCTTGGATCACTACAATTCTGTGATTCTGAAATGTTTTGCTTCAGATAAGTTATTTTGTTAAATGACTACACTGCAGCTCCAAAGACAGCAAAGTAGTTTGTTTGTGTCAGTTCTGTATTGTTGAGCAGCAAGTTTAGATACATCCATCTTACACACTAGTTAAAATAGAGTAGACAGGTTGCCAAACTTCGTTTTTGTATCAAACTGTTGTTTTTCTTTCCTTTTTAACGTCTTCCTTTTCCAAATTAAAATCAACAACCAAAAAAAGTCACTGCTTTCTTACTGCCATTTGATCATCTTACAGATGTCAAAATCCCTCATGGACTCCCGTTTCTCTCCCCTGCCCCTTCCAAGACAGCCAAGTGCTTCTACAGCAGTATTTGGCAAATTGTTTGGCATTCTAATTAAGACTGCTTGAGCATAAACTGTGTTCCAAAAACTCTCTAAGTTGAAATTAATAAAATATTAGTAATATTTCAGAGAAACAGTAAACACACAACAAAATGAGATCTGGTACTAGATATAGCCATTTCCCCTGAAACTTGCAATTAAGATTGCTTTAAGTAACTTACTGCAAGAAAAAGCCCACCCCACATGCCATGTCTCATACATATTAACATGCTAGTTCTCATCAGCAGTCACTGCTTCACTCAAACACCAACATTTCCCTCTGACTGAAGAGTAATTCACTTACCTTGTGTCTGCATTTAAGTACAACGCCATAGGCTCCTGAAACAGAGAAGATGAGAGATAAGCCATCTCAAAGCAGAAAAAAATTAAAAGTGGCAAGATAAAACAGCGTTCAGCAACCTCCTAACTATAGAAGTAGCATTGTTCCCAGTATTATTATCCTGAACATACATATACAGGTACTAAATCTCTGTACACTGAAACAATTCCATAAAAATTGCTCAAAAGTAAATGGATTTTAAAACACTGAAATTATTTTTTAAAAAATATGCTTGCAGTTAAGTTTGATAACTTGCATCTCCCTAGTACCACCAATGAGAAATCAATACATTAAACTTTTAAAAGGAAAAAAAAACCAAAACCACAAAAAAACCCCAAGCCCCCACAAAACTGTTCTATTTCTCTTCCCTTCCTTTCAGCTTCCAAACTTCTTCATCCATCTGACACGGAAATTAGCCAGAAGCTATAGAAAATAAACACATACAAGAAAAATTTTGCAGTTGGTAACTCATTATCATCTAAGTCAAATCTAAAAATTCTAATTAATCTTTTTATTAGGATACTACTTACCTTCACCTACAACCCCAAGGATCTCAAATTTATTCATCACATTACCAATGTTAGGAATCTTCATCAAGACAAATTCCTCTTACGGTGAGAGCCACAAAACATGGCACAAACAGGACCGACTGAAGATTTTGCAAAAGGCAGTTGTGAAAAGGCTCTTGGAAAAAAACTTTCACCTTGATCAATCAGACTTCTCACACCCTCTTTTAATTTCTAGGCAATCAATAGCTTCCTGGGGAAAGAACAGAAAATAACATAATTAGAAGTTTGATTTACTTCAGTAAGAGAAAGCAATGGTACACAGACATCACACCAACACAGTCTAACAATTTTAACAGACAATTAATCTACTTCTACATTTTATGATCAGAAGAGGTAAAATGGACAGAATCCACTGACACCATACATCTGACACAACAGCTGGCCTTGTAATCCCATACACAGGATGTCTATTGCAAGGCTAACTAACTGGCATAAAGTAATTTTCTACAGAACAGAGGCAAACAAAAATGTTGTCAGGAACTACCTCAGTAAGCAAAAATAAGCTTATAATTACTTATGGTCCACTTGGTGTATGTTGATAGCTAGGTACAGAAACAAATTTTGTTTAGTTAATTTCTTGTTTATCCACTGTAATGATAAAAAGGATATGGTAGAAAGAACACTCTATAGGAGAAAACAGCTTTCTATTACTATTTTCTGTGATTATTAAGAAAAAAGTAAAAGGAAATTAATTGGCTAGACTGACTAGGAATGAAATTTTCAAATTATTTCCATTATCAACTTATTTAAAGAAACGTGATAAACAGAAAAAATATTTCTTCAAAGGGTTTTTTCAGTGCTCCCCAAACACTGAAGTAATTTTTCAAATTAAGCAACTATACACAGGGTAAAGAACAAAGGTTTTTTGGGTGTTTTAGGCTTACCCCTACTCTGCTATTCTACTAGAAGTTTGATTTTATTAATTCAGACTGCATTTGCTCCCTAAATATTAAAGGCATATATCCGACATTCAAAAATGGGGAAAGAAAAACCCTCAACTGGTTTCACCATGAACTGGAAATATACCATCTTTACAATTCAGTGACTCAAGGACAGACCTACTCATGAAGACCAGGATGGCAGGATGGAAGTGAATACATTTAATTAAGTTATGTGCAATGGGTGAGTGTGACCCAATAATGTTGGGTTCAGCTCACACAAATGGGATGTCACTGTAAGCCAGGGGTGCTGGCCAAAAGCCCAGTGCTGACCAGGTCATACACAACAAAAGGACAACCCAAGGGTGGAGGAGAATCACAATGACTTTTGTTTCAGCAAGACACAGGCAGATCATGTGGGGAGGGGTTGTTACTTCAGAAGCAACTCCAGAGTTAATCAACCACAGTGATTTGAAAACAAAGCAGTGAGTTGCAAATTAAAGGGATAGTTAGGGTTCTCTGGTTTGCTTTTGTTTTTTAGAAAAAGCTGCCCAGTCCTTTATTAATTATTTCAGTGGTTTAATTTACTGTTTTAATTAATCAATTTTTTCTTCACTGGTGAATTGTACAAAATACTCCTTCCTTTCCCTTCCATATGTTCTCCTCCTATTTCATTTGGCATCTCCTCACAAAAGCCTTTTTGCTGTTTGTCCAGACTTTCTGGTTACACTAACGAACTTAAAAAAAATGAGGTCCTAGAAAAACAGGAGCATCTGCTTAGTTGCACCCATCAACATGAGAACAGAGCCCACACTGAGCTGCTTCAGCTTTCTACTGGAACAGGCTGGTGCCAGGCACAGGGTGCAGCTGCCTGTCCCCATGCTGCAGCTGAGTGACAGAAATACTGCTACAGAGACCTTGAAACAACCATTAGTGCCACCATAATGTGAGACACGCACAACAAAACTGGTCAGCCAAGTTCAGAACACCAAAATTATTTGCCAGAAAGAAAGGAAAAGTCAGAAAACATATATTGTTTTCTATCAGCACTATTCGGTAACATCTCCAAATCTGTTACTTCAGTTCCCAACATGATTCACTGACAAATCCTTCCAGAAATTGGTTTGTGATAAATTGATTACTTATCTGCAAATGTTATCAGTGTACACTTTCATTCTGCCTATCAGTGTACACAATACTTCCTAGATATATGAAGAAACAGTAAAGCAACTTACGAGATAACGTACCAAAAGCTCAAGAAGAAATTAAGATGCAGTTTCCTTTGTCCCTCATGCATAATTCCTAAATTTCTCATAAACTCCTTAAAGCTATGCAGGCCTGCAGCTTGTGACCCATTATTTTTATTTTCAGTTCTGCAAGTTTATTCAGTATGAATTCTAGTTTTTTTTTTATTGGGAACAAAGGTTAGACTTGCAAGCAGCTAATCTTCCTTCCTGAAATCCCCCAACTAGGGAGGCTGTGGATCCCCAACCCCAGCAGTGTTAAAGGCCAGGCTGGATAAGGCCTTGAGCATCCTGTCTAGTGGGAGGTGTTCCAGCAGATGGCAGAGAGGGCTGGGAGAAGATGATCTTTAAGGTCCCTTCTAACTCTTAAAATTCTATGATATTCAATACTATACCTCTTCTCCCTAGTGATCACATACCATCTTCCCTTTTCACTTTCAATTAGAAGAGCCACAGAAAGCTGATCCCCTGCTGCCCCTGAATTCATGGTGCCTAGAGAAGCATTTGCATGTAATTCCTTAAAGATAAAACCCTGTCAAGTCACTTAGTGATTTTCACTTACCATTAGTGACACACTTCAACTGGCCCAAAGAAACACGCAATCCAGCTTCCCTAAATCTCCCCAAAGTGCATCATGACTGACCGACATCACAGGTAACACAGACGCACACAGGGGGACTCCCAAAAGCAAACTGCACTCGAGTGACCCCCTCTTTTACACTAGCTCCAGGCAGCTTTGTGCCCAATTCTGCTCCTGAGGGCACTTCATGGGAACTTAATCTTGAAATGAAAAGGAAAGCTAGTGAAAGATGACTAGTGGCACCCAGTAGTATGGATTCATACCCAAACACTTTTTGCCCCAATTTTTTTGCCTCAAACTGGGCTATAATTCAAACATTAGAGAAGTCAGACTAGTTAGACCCATTTACTCTCTAGACAAAATTTATATGCTGATTTGAGATCTTTGTCTTCAAAAGCTGCTGAAAGATTAAAATCAAGCTGCTAAAAATATTTGTTCAGTGGCAGTACCCTTTGTTTGGGATTCTCCTGTTTTTCAAAAGGCACTGGCCTTGTTAAGATTGTTTTGAAAATCACTGATTCCTGCAGGGAATCTGGTAACATGAACTCAAAACTCCATGAATGACACAGAGTCTTATGAATGTCAGAGTGAGTAACTGTAATAACAAAAACAAGGAAAAACACCTGGAAGTTTAAACAAAAGCTTAAATAAAACAGAAGCTTAAACAAAAACGTAATTTCAAGAGAGTTATCCACAGCAAGAATGACTTTATTCTGTAACTTAGTGAGGACAGGCTGGATTCTTTCAAGCTGAACACTGGAAATAGCAAGGAAAACCTTAGCTAATACAAGGAAAACCTAATAGCTGCCACAGTTTCGTTCTTTGCACTGAGTGCCACACTGTTTTGTTTTCCTAAGTTGCTTGCTGGCTAGAATAACCCTTGCAGAAGTGGAAACAAGGCCATCATCTACCTCTCAAAGGCTCTCAGTATGGAAATAGCAGTCATTCTCCTAATACCCCTTTCTAAGGCAGCCAGATTCACAGCACATCAACAATTTATTAATTAAACAAACAGACCTCTGAGATGCTCTCAACATTATCATGATATTCTACAAAACACAGAGCCAACAGCAAAATGAAACGCCATGAGATGAACACAAAAAAAATTAGTTTTATTTAATCCAGAAGTGTTACAGTGTGAGACTTTAATACAAAAGTAGCTGTTCTGCAATAGCATGTAAGGCTTATACGTAAATCCCAGAAAACATACAAACATATTCGAAATGAGCTTATGGAATACTACAGCATTATGGTACCTGATCATTTGAATTGAAATTAAAGCAGTGGGGAAAAAACCCAGCTTTTCCATAACTCCTTCTCCCTTCAGGACCATTAAGAATTCTAGTGCATCACTCAAAAGCATCGGACTTAACCACTCAACCCAAAGCCTCAAACATAAGTAGAAATGCTATTCTTTATTTCATAATCATCAATATCAGTGTGGAGAGAAAAGCACTTTTTACATAGTTAGATTTTAGTAGAGACACTTAGTGAGAATTATGAAACACATGAGGTAGATGTTTGGCTTCACAAAATGTAGAGAAGTAAAACTGTTCTAGAAATACAGTTAAATTTGTATACCTTCATCTTGAAAATCAAGTATTCAGTTAATTTCATATATCATGACAGAATGCAATCTGCATTCCGCCGAAATTAGTTACAAACTTCTGACTTCAAAGTCATCCATGAGCTTTTAAACAAGCTTCTTGCCAGCAGATAATACATCCCTCTTCCTCTTCTAAAACAAGAATTAAACTTAATCTGTTTTATTTATTGTGTTTACCTACCAAGAGGCCACAACTAGGAATTTCTAGAGGCTCATTTACATTTTCATCTGTGCATTAACAACACAGCAGATCCCTACACAAATGTAAAGAACTTATACCATACCATCTTTTGATGGTTATGCATTAATCCACACCCTGGCATGTCTTCTGTCAAAGAAGTTACATGGATGAAAGAAGCATTAACCACTTCTGTTAGCAATGGTGCATCATTCAGCACCTTGACTTTTCCTCTCCAATATACACGTAGCTCTGTTCATTGAGGTTTTCCAGGAAAACTCTAGTTAGAGCTACAAACAACCAATTCAGTGTTATAGCAGTAAACACAAGTGACAGGGCAAAGAAAATAGGTGAGATTTTTTTTTTTTTTGATTTATTGATCCAGCGGAATGTGTCAGGTTTATTATGACAAATTACTGATCAGGAAGTAAAAAATCAGTATATGAAAAGCTGTGAAGAGGAAACGAGCAGTAACATTCTGACTTAAGGAATGGAGAGGAAAATAATCCAATCTTACTAGTGACATTGTATCAATCTCACTCCATAATTTGGAAAAAAAGCTACCACATTATTTTTCCATTTTATGGAGGGACAGTAGACGTTCTAAATGAGATAAGATTCTGGAGCAAGAGCCATCAAGATTTCACAATATGAA